TATTCTCATCAGGAAACATGCATAAACAACACATCGAATTGAACAACTTAACTTGCTGATAAATTTGAAACAGCATATATACCATGTGCATTAGCCTCTAAAAAGTAGTGCTTCGATTGTAAGGATAATGTTATTACCAGTATGAAGTCAGCAGCTGGTATGAACCCGACTTGATGGGTTACAAGAATTACTGTTTTGCTAGCTAGTGCCCCCAATATATAATCCCGCGACACATAATCAGAACAGAGGCACCTTTAAAGAAAATATGCCTTTGTCACCAATGATCTGTGAATGACACGATTACCTGGCTATGGTTGTATGCTTCTCTTGCTCTTGCAGGTATCGAGGTAAGAATCTGCTTTGCTCGAGATATAGAATCAGCACTGCAACAAGATGAAGCGTCAGGTACCAATGCTAGTAATTCTTGAAAGTGGATACCAATGATGGTTGCTCAGGTTGTCAAAATCATGAAATATTAAGATATAACAAATTTGTACTTATACATCAGGCATAAAAATAAGAGTTAATTGCACTATTAAGACATAAACTTGCAGCGCCGGTACAATTTCAAACAAAAACTTGCAAAATGACTCAACCGGGCCCGTAAAATTGCTTTGCGGGACAACAAATTAATTATCACTTAAGATGTATTTTTAAAATAGAACAGCAGAGGGTGGAGTCATGTTGCTGCGTAAATACAATAATATATATGTTCCATCCATTAGGTCTCCGATAGTTTGTAAAATAAGAACATTGAATCTACTGATTAATCCCCCAACATCCCATTGTCAAACATAACAAGTAATTAGAGAAGATAATTTTGTCATGATACTTCTTAATACAACATGATTTCAGTATACAACATATATTGATCCCAAGAAAAAAAATCTGGTTGAAAAAGAAAATAGAACTACAATTTAGACCGGTCAGTATAACATACTACCGTAGGTTGTTCCCTCTTTCCTCATGATGGCATGTAAATTTCTCCCACGCACTCTCTGTATACTCTCTGTTTCTTGTGATTCAGATTAAAGGGGAATTTGTCAAATAGGCATATAAATACATTGCTTAGAAGTTGAAAACAATATGTAGTTCTATTTAATTCTAGAAAGCTAGTACTATAATATGATATTTGGGAAACGCTTGCCTGCTATCAGCCGCCTCCTCTATGTGACGCGTGTACACGGGTCCTTTGCGTCACTACATACAGGAGGCATAATCTCTATGCCACAGAATATACCATTAATTATCATGGTCGAGGATAGCAAAATACAAACCCCAAAGTGAGATATATCCAGAGAATTTAAGCCTCTCAGTGTAAAAAAATCTGGCCAAAATATATACCTTTTGAAAGGAAATCATGTCCTAAATGAATAGCCTGCACGCCGCACAAAATATTAAATGTCTCCTAAATATGTAGAATAGTTATAGCTCCTGTCGGGTGGGCGGGCGGTGCAGGTCTGTCTGGGCCAAGAAAAGGCTTCGCTGACCTCTATTTGCAAACAAAATTTTAATGCAAACTTTAATGTAGTTGCACGTTCATGGCTGATCAGGCATAAATGAATGATTGAGATGGAACTAAAATATCAAACTATAATTGTTGAATGATTGGTAATGCGACTCGTAATCAGAATAACAAAGGAGATAAAAACATATGAAACTCGATATCCTTTAGAAACAAATGTCACCCGCTCCTTCCTCGGCAGCTTTGTGTCAATCTCATCACCCACGTTCACAAGAACAACTCCCATGTGCGACCAAATGTGACCCGTCTCTAGCCTGCAGGCATGCAAGTGAGATGGATGTTGACTTGCTCTTGCATGAGTAGTAGATGATCCTTATGAATCTTGTTCAAATACCTCACTGTGCCAGCTTCATCTTGCTGTAAGTGTTTAGAGTATACAGCAAAGACTTATTCAGGCTTTACCACAAAAGTAGAATGCAATTGTTAGACACATCTATTTTTTGCATAACCAGCAGGCACACCTCATGCTTACTTCCCATAGCAAACTCTCGTGCAGAAGCATGTTGGGCACATCACCTGGAAGGCACAAACATGCATGAATTAGGATAGCCTGGGTATATCAGCTTTTAATTCTTTTGCATATAAACATACTACTACAGTAAAGTGTGCCACTAAGGTATATGCGTATAGCTACGGATGTTTCCAGTATACCTGAATATTTTGCTTGGCCATCAACATGTTTGAATGACGGAACATCTCCAGTTAACTGTCAAAAGTCATCTTAAAAAATTATAGGGATCTTGAAGGTAAAAAGTGGCAACTCCACACTGAGAAAATTTAGCAATACACTGGAAATACTGATGGATACTTATGGACATAAGTTCTCTAGAGTATATTAGTCATTGACATATTAGAACCTCGCATGATATTAGTCAATTATTAGCCATTGAATTTCAGGTTGTCTGTGTGGTAAAAGTATTACCATCTAAAATTCCTTACATATGCTAATGCAGGGCCGACCATTGCTCTACTTGTTAACGGATTTTAGACAAAAGCACACCATAGATGTTCCGGTACAGAAAGACAAAGCTCCTCCAGGTTGTACGGATGCCTAGAAATGTAGTATAACAAACAAGACGTGCTCTTTTTGAAATTTCAAATAGCGTGGCCTCATAGAAAAGCTCATGCGCGTGACTGATCAAACTGGTCATGGCATAATAAGAAAGCACGCACCGTATCGGGCTAGGATGTTCTCATTCTACAAGATTTGGCCATTGTGGATCAGCCGATGGTGTGGCGGTCACACCTTAGAGCTCTTGGGACGACCACCTTGAACATCCGGACGGTGGTAACCAGGTCGGCCACGGACTTGGAGCCAGGGCCGGTCCTGAGAATTTAGGGGCCTGGGGAAAGACAACAAAAAGGGGCCCTAACCCCTAAGGCCACAGAAACATATGCTGTTTTTTCTATTTCAGTTGCAAATAAATACTCGATACACTATAATTTTGTTGCCTTATCATCTTAGTTATTCAGAAGAGTGGGTTCATAAACATTCACAGTAAAAGTTGCAGTCAATTGGCATGTTTTTTATTAGGTGAATAAGTAACAGTTTTGTGCTTACTCAATATATTGTCATCCTATAATTTTTCATTAGGTTGTTCCTCAGCAGTAACCAAGCTAGTTGTTCTGAATTCCTAGCAGTAGAAGTACTCGTCTGTATTCTAACAAATTGTTTATGCTCCTTTCGAGGCCTCAGTCAAGTCATATGCCAGTTTTCATTCTCATTACCAGATGGATATACTAACAATCTTGCTAATTAGCACACAAATATATAGGGTACAAGTAATTAAGAACACTGCTGATCAAATAAAAAAATTCTAAGAAAGGTATGGAGCAAGATATTTGGATGGCTAGAAAAATATAAATTGCTAAATTTTGTTGCTGCTTACAAGTCACGAACATACATCTCAGTTCCTCTTTTCGAATCCCAATCAAAACATGAAATCAGAGTGAGAAAGAGATATGTATGAGGATGATCTTTATGAATGAATGAACGATCTCACAAGACTATAGAAGAGGGAATTTTTGAGTTGAGAAGCGATTAATCACAATCTGGAAAATCGTAATACCTTCTTCCACTAATTGCGCCCTGCAGCCGGAAATCTCGATTGGACGTCCTCATACATATCTGTGAGGCGTTCTCGACCTTGGCAAGGCTGAGTCTCAGGCTGATTTGTTTCCATTTGGGAAAGAGATGGAATTAAGCCGAGAAGATTGCGTGTGTGACAAGCCGAGGATGAACATCATGTACGCACAGGCAGCTCGCCCGGGCAGCTCTGGGTCAGGTCCTTGTCGCAGGCCAAGACGGGGCAGTTGTCGCGGAGAGGCCCACGTTGAAGCCGTCCACCACGCTCACCCCGTAGGACGATTGCTCGTTGCCGCCGTGGTGGAGGGAGACCTGCGGTGGAGAACTGGAGCCGCCCGCCGCAGTCGCCTGTCGCGCAGCCGGTGCGCGCCCAGATGCGGCTGGACCAGGCGTGGGTGGGCGCCGGGAAGGAGCGGTGGGAGAGCGACGGGAGGAAGAAGCCGCCCCCCTCCAGGACCTCACTGCCGGCGTTCCCCTGGATGCCCGGCCAGATCGGGTTCACGACGGTCAGGGTCATCGGTGGTATGCGTGCGGAGCGGACGACATGCTCTTGTGCATGCGAACGTGCGAGGAGGAAGTGGTGCGCGGCGTGCGTGCGATCAGTCTAAGCAGTTTTTCTCAGAAGAGGTGGAGGAGTTTAGGAGTGGCAGGGTGGTAATTAAAGTGTAAAACATGTTTGATATGTTGGAGTGATTTAGACCATCAGATCATATGCTTCAATGGATAAGATGACTCGGTTCTCCGCCCTCTCGTCCTTTTACAGTGGCAGTAGATACGGTGTGTAATGCCCCTGTTTTTATCTTTCCGTAATGTAGATGTAGTACCATTTGACGGTGTACTTTGGTATGAGGCCCCGAGCGTCCGTGACCAGAGGAAAAGAGCGTGTCAACGTATAGGCAGACAACTCATTCCACGGTCAAGAAGGCGACGCTGAACCGTTCGTTCATCCGTGAGAGCCAGGCTCCCCCGCTGCGACCGCGAGAGTAGGTGGGAATGCCTCGCCTTCATCATCAAGTCAAAGGAAAAAAAAAAGGGGGTGCACCGTAGAGGTAGGTAGGTGGGGAAGTTTCCAGCGCCCGGTCCGAACCTGCGGCCGGCCGCGGCCGCGCGTGTCACCGCGCCGCACCGCAAACCAGACCGGAATTGAGTGGGTCGCCCCGCACCACCAACCCCGCCCTTCCTTTTCCGGGCTTAAAACCTCCACCCGTTTTGACGCGACAACAAACACAAATCGCCTACATCCACCACTAGTACTCGTACACGCACGCGCCGCGCCTCTCTGCCCCGCCCGCCCGCACTCCTCGATCCCATCGAACGAACGCGTAGCGCGAGCGCACCGCCCCCTCCCCCCTCCGCCAATCCGCCGCCGCCATGGACTCCGCCCCGGGGATGAGGGACTCGGCGCTGGACCTGCTGGCGGCACTGCTGACCGGCCGGGCCCCGGCGGCCGCCCAGGACGACGGGGGCCAGAACCGCCGCCTGCTCGCGCTGCTCGCCACCTCCCTCGCCGTGCTCGTCGGCTGCGGCGTCGCGCTCCTCTTCCGCCGCTCCTCTTCCTCCGCCGCGCCGCTCGCCCGGCAGGCCGCCGCGGCCAAGCCCCTCGCCGCCAAGAAGGACCAGGAGCCCGACCCCGACGACGGCCGCCAGCGGGTCGCCCTCTTCTTCGGCACCCAGACCGGCACCGCCGAGGGCTTCGCCAAGGTACGCTCGCTCGTCCCTCTCAGCACTGATGCCTCCTCCCCCCTCCCGTGCAACAATCTGACCTCCCTGCTCTGCTATGCTAGGCGCTCGCGGAGGAGGCCAAGGCCAGGTACGACAAGGCCGTCTTCAAGGTGCTCGATCTGGTACGATCTCTTATCTTAACCTCGCCCCCGACGCTGCTTCTTCTTAAAGCCCCTCCCCTCCTCCCCTCCTCTCATAGTACGTTTGATTTGTTGGGATTCAGGATGATTACGCCGCCGAGGACGACGAGTACGAGGAGAAGCTCAAGAAGGAGAACATCGCCTTCTTCTTCCTCGCAACGTAAGGATCACCGGTTTCCATCTGCAACTCTTACTGACTTCGTTACAGCACTAGTGGATTTGCTTGCTTAATAAATTACTCTACACGTGTTAAGCAAGGAAGTAATGAATATTTGTTTGCTCCAGACAATTGCTAATCAAACCAGCACTTGCTAAAGCTGAGGGCAACCCCCTTTTTTTTGTCTAATCTAAAAAGCAAAATTGCTGATGGGCGTCCTTGTCGCTGTTGTAGGTACGGGGATGGTGAGCCAACCGACAATGCGGCCAGATTCTACAAATGGTTCTCTGAGGTCCGTTTGATTACACGTACTTTCTGGTGGTGCAGCTCCGAATGTGCATTTTCTCACGGTTGGTATTGATGGCTGCTTTGTTTGGTCCGACTACAGGGGAACGAGAGGGGTGAGTGGTTGAGCAACCTCAAGTTCGGGGTGTTTGCTCTTGGGAATAGGCAGTACGAGCATTTCAACAAGGTCTGCCCCCTTGCCCTCTATTGATCTGAGGCATACATGCACTCTTACATGTAAACTTACTCTGCTTTTGCTTTCAAATGTTTCCAAACTGAAGGTCGGAAAGGAGGTTGATCAGCTCCTCGCTGAACAAGGTAAACAAAAAACAGAATGAATGACCAATTCAATTTATCGTAGCTCAGTTCACCTACATTTCAATATTATGACACAGTGCTCTTTTGAGAAATTATATAACTAGATAGGCCTGGAATTGTTTTGCCATGTATGATTAGTTTTGAGTTAGATGTTGTGAATCATCTGCAACATGACTCCATCATTACACGTTTTTTCCTAGTTTTGTTGTCGCCTTTGTCATCTGCTAGTGGTTAACTTCTGTCCATGATGTTTCTCCAGGTGGAAAGCGCATAGTTCCTGTTGGCCTTGGAGATGACGATCAATGCATTGAGGATGACTTCAACGCCTGGTATGTACGGCAACGAGCTTAACCTCGATCTGAACTTTCCAAATCAGGACAGTTGGTAGCCTTTCATTTTATCGGCTTGTGCATGGTGGTCCTGTTTCTGCACATACCTTGATCTCAACTTTAGACCTTGAGAGTCTTACAAATCGGAAGCTAATGGTTTGTTGCTTGGACTACAGGAAGGAACTGCTGTGGCCAGAATTGGACAAACTGCTCCGCGTTGAAGATAATTCTTCAGCAGCACAATCTCCTTACACGGCCGCTATTCCACAATATAGAATTGTGCTTACCAAACCAGAGGATGCCACACATATCAACAAGTCTTTCAGTCTTAGCAATGGTCATGTTGTCTATGACAGTCAACATCCTTGCAGGTATGCCCTTCTTGCTTTTATGTGACTAGACCCATTTTTTTAATTATTATGAGTGAACTCTGACCACACTTCTTTTCCAGGGCAAATGTGGCTGTGCGACGGGAGCTTCACACACCAGCTTCCGACCGGTCCTGCATTCATTTGGAGTTTGATATTGCAGGAACTAGCCTCACGTAAGCATATTGAAGGATCTAGCTCTGTCAGTTTTTGAGAATAGGAGGTGATAACCAGTTTATGTGATTGGTCTTTAGACAGCTGATTATTCCTAATTTTCATTCCAGATATGAGACTGGAGATCATGTTGGTGTGTACGCAGAAAATTCAATTGAGACTGTAGAGGAGGCAGAAAAGCTATTAGATTATTCACCAGATACTTATTTCTCAATTTATGCTGACCAAGAGGATGGCACTCCACTTTTTGGGGGCTCTTTGCCACCTCCTTTCCCATCTCCCTGTACTGTGAGGGTTGCACTTGCCAGATATGCCGATCTGTTGAATTCACCTAAAAAGGTGAATATTTTGTTTCTGCGTATTTGTTCTCTCGCTGCATCATATGTTTGTATTCATAAATATTTTCTGATGGGTTGCTGCAGAGTGTTTTACTTGCTTTGGCTGCTCATGCATCTGACCCCAAAGAGGCCGAGCGGCTCAGACATCTAGCATCTCCTGCTGGAAAGGTTGGTTTATAATCTAGGATAAATTCATACTCTCCAATAATGCTGTCATCTTTCTCACATGAATTTCATTGGTCAGAAGGAGTATTCTCAGTGGATAATCGCTAGTCAAAGAAGTCTCTTGGAAGTTATTTCGGAGTTTCCATCGGCAAAGCCTCCGCTTGGTGTCTTCTTTGCAGCTATTGCTCCTCGCCTTCAGCCGAGATACTACTCAATATCTTCCTCACCAAGGTATCTTGTCTTTGAAATAGTTCCCTATGTTACATAAACAAATTGATTAGTCAGTCAAGTTTCATGATATCGTATCGTTGCAGAATGGCACCTACAAGAATTCATGTAACATGTTCACTAGTTCATGGGCAAACCCCAACTGGAAGGATCCATAAAGGAGTTTGTTCTACTTGGATGAAGGTATACTCCTGTCTCTTCATGGTCACAGGGCAGAACTTTGTTCCTATAATATAGTTACAAGCATGGAAACTTTTTGACCTTTGGCATGATAATTGAATTTGTCCCCTATTGCTCACTTTGATGTTTGGACTCAACCCCCATTTGCTGAATCTATCCTGAACATGTCGAGGCAACTTCCATTATTTTTCCCTTGAGAACTCCTGAAATCACACATATTTCCCCAGGTTTAATGATGTTTGACTGAAATTTCTAGTTCAGTCTGCTGGCCTTGCTTTGTATGTTTATAGGTCAACGTAATCATCTGCTATTAATCATTCTCACATTTTCATCGTGAGCTTCCCCTCTGTGGCCATGTAAATTAATTAAATGGATGATACCATGTAGCTCATTTCGATCAATGACACAACCTTGCACTACTGCCTTCGAATTAGAATCACATTGTAGGTCTTTTACTCAACAGTATGATACGAGTTCTCACTACATATTTTTGTATCTCTTGTCTTATATAGGTGGTCACGCAAACATTTGTACTTTGAGATGTGTGTGCAGTCATTTTAAAATCATAATGATTCGTATGTTCTATGTAGCCAAGTATTTTTTTAAATCATTTGAAATATCTGCCAGTGACCATCTTGCGTCTAGTAAACGTTTGTCTTATGATCCTACGTGGCTACACGCAGAATTCAACTCCCTCGGAAGAGAGCCAAGAATGTAGCTGGGCTCCAATTTTTGTGAGGCAGTCAAACTTCAAATTGCCTGCTGATCCCACAGTGCCTATTATAATGGTAGGCCCTGGGACTGGCCTTGCACCTTTCAGGGGTTTCTTACAGGTTTGTTTTGTCTTCCCCTTTTGGTTTCTCTTGCATTGTGCTTCAAGCTTTGTCACTCTTTAGTATGTTAACATTCATATCGAATCCATTTGGCATTGACAGGAAAGATTAGCTTTAAAAGAGTCTGGGGTAGAACTGGGCTGTGCCATCCTCTTCTTCGGGTGCAGAAACCGCCAGATGGTAATGACCCCTGCTATTTAGCTTCATCTACTGTTATTGTAAGGAACTGTCATGATTTGTGAACCCTGCCAGCATGCAGGTCATCCATAGTAAATATGGCATGGCAGATTCTTACATATATCTGCCCAAATATTATTCTATGCCTCTTAGCTCCTTGGCGCCTGTCAGGAAACTTTTCTGCATTTGTGTTTTATACATCTAGTAAAGGATCTCATGGGCTGATTAAAAACACTATCTAACTTGTTTGGAAATTGCCTGACCAAAATTTCTTTTCTACAGGACTTCATATACAAGGATGAGCTGAACAATTTTGCCGAATCCGGAGCCCTGTCTGAGTTGGTTGTCGCCTTTTCTCGTGAGGGTCCTACAAAAGAGTACGTCCAACACAAAATGGCAGAGAAGGTAACCTGTTTATACATGTCCTGTCGTTGATTAGGTACAAATAATCCTTTGTTTTCCTTGCTTGACCATGCACGTGTAAACAATCTTCGCAGGCTGCAGAGCTGTGGAGCATTGTTTCCCAGGGCGGCTATGTGTATGTCTGCGGTGACGCCAAGGGCATGGCAAGAGACGTGCACCGCGCCCTGCACACCATAGTTCAGGAACAGGTGACGCAACACACATCCATTTCGGTCTGGGGGAGTTCCTGTTGGTTCCCTGAACTGACGGGTCGTTTGCTTTTCATTGCAGGGCTCTCTGGACAGCTCCAAGACGGAGAGCTACGTGAAAAACCTTCAGACGGAAGGGAGATACCTGAGAGACGTCTGGTAACAATTGCAGAAACGGAAGAATGATTCATTCAACACCACTTAGGAAATCTAGCGAAATGATGGACCGAACATGAGAAATGCGGCTCCGATTTCGAATATGATTGGCGCCGGTTTTTCAGGTCTGTATGGAGCATATATATAGTAGCTATAGTAGTGGGATTTTTTGTTGTTGTATAGGAAACTCCAGCTAGGTACTGCTGTAGTATTATTTGTGGAACGGAGGATGACGATTCATCGATTGTTTGTGATGTCTGGAATTGAAGCTAAATAAAGGTGCCCATTCGCATGCCAGCTAATTTAACCAGTTATTGTTCAACAGCTGTACCTGTACGCATACGTGCCCCCCTTCTTATAAATGAGGAAAATGGACTAGAGTTGGCAAAAAGAGTGTTGAATTTTAGCAGCCATCCAAACGAAAACAATTCTGCCTTCACCAAAATTCTAGTAGGGTCCACTTTGGACACAAGGCAAACATACCAGACAAGATCACCTACGCTGCTGTATGTCATCTTCCCTGCACAAGCCAAATTTGCATAGTTTCGCGAAAACATACATGGTGTGGATTCGTACGAAGATGGTTCTTTTAGGGGTCCTACACATGTTTTTTCTGAGAAACAGGAGTACCCGATCTTAGTGAAGGCCAACTTGGGCCGCCGCCCTCTAGACCACCAGCCCAGAAGCCTTAGTAATTGGCCCATATAAGCAGTGAAATTGGCTGAAATCTTTGTTCTGGCCGCCACTCCGCAGCCCATCAGCCCAGATGATTTTTTTAATGATAATCCCTTAGTAATTGGCCCGTATAAGCAGTGAAATAGGCTCAAATCTTGCTCTGGCAGGCACCCCCCGTCCCAGACCAGCCCCTCAACATTTTGGCCGAGCTCCGCCACTGGACCCACACTTGCACGCCTTGATTACCTCAAAAAAAAAAACTTGCACGCCTTGATTTGCCATTTTAACATTATGGGTGCGATGTTGGAATTTTAAATTGTGGAAGCCAGTACTCACTTGATCTTTCCATCCTCCATGCTAGAGGAACCGTGGGCCGATCCGCGACAGGGAGATAGCACCTTGAACTGCAGGAATTAATTAATGTGTCGTGTTTCTCTTCATGATCGATTTCAATATTTAGGAAGCTCGTACAGAAAATGCAGCGTATGTTTAAAGTCAGTAGTTCAAAAAAAATAGTTTTTATGTTCTCTCTTTTTTGTGTGGAAGAGTTCATATGCTTTGGGTGAACAGTAAGGCAAAAAAAAAGGTAAAGAAAAATCAACTAAATCTAGAAAATGTAAGCAACAAACAAATTCTTGTCTTCTAACTCCAGGCTATTTTTTGTGAAGGAAGAATATGTGTGGTGATTTGAGAAAATAAGTGTCCTTCAAAAGCATTTTAGAGCAACTGTTAGGGCTGCTGTCCATCAGTGGAGGCTGGCTTGGTTTAGTCCCACCTCGCTTACGGGAGGAGGCCATGACCAACTTATAAGGGAGAGTATCCCTCCTCCTTTCAGTCCGGGCTTTTGGGATGGAGTGGGCTCTCCACTGAATGTTGGCCCATGTGCGCATAAACGTCCAGAACGTAAGTAGAGTGTGGGCTAGATCGAGTTGGACGCTAACATCTGGTATCCGAGCCAGCATCGCCAAAGCTGGCTTGGTTTAGTCCCACCTCGCTTATGGGAGGAGGCCATGACCAACTTATAAGGGAGAGTATCCCTCCTCCTTTCAGTCCGGGCTTTTGGGATGGAGTGAGCTCTCCACTGAATGTTGACCCATGTGCGCATAAACGTTTAGAACGTAAGTAGAGTGTGGGCTAGATCGAGTTGGACGCTAACAACAACCTTTTCTTGCTTCACCACACACGTCTTTTCATCGCGAAATAAATACTTATAATTAGAACAGAAGAAAAAACGTGTACATTGTAAAAATAAATTGAGAACTTTAACCTTTGTTACTATTCATTTAGATTTTACAGTTCATGGAGGGGCATATGAGCTCGAACTCAAACTTGAATTTCCGAAAAAAGGAATACATCCAAAGATATACACCCGTCACATTTGCATCGTATCGCTACTCGTTTTGCTAACATCAACTTAGTTAGCTTCTCCATTAATTGGCATATTAGTGGGTATATGCATGAACGCCAAACTTAGGCGAGCGATGGATTCGATCCACAGGTAAGATAATGAACTTTCTCATGCGTATAAGAAGCCGCTAAAGAGAAATCCAACGGAAGGCGCCATGCATGCTCATCGATCAGAGCCACGCATGCATCTTTGGCTGAGCCCTGGATTCGCGGATGTTGTCAAGGAAACAAACTAATTAGGCCAAAAGTTCTAATCAAGAAACAGACTTTTCGTCAGGAGGAAGTTTTTTTTTTTGAGGGGTCGTCAGGAGGAAGTTAAGGGATAGTTCCCACCCCAATTACTCTACTCTTTAGTCAAGTGAAGGGCACCACAATACTGTCACCACGCTAACATGCATTTTCTTCTTTCAAGAAACCACCACTCCCTCCGTACCAAAATATAAGACATTTTTGCAGTTAACGTCTTATACTTTGGTACCGAGGTAGTACTATATGAGAAGTCGCTATAGCAGTAGCGAAGAAGTAAAGAGCGTTCAAACAAAAAGGCGCTAGCCATGCACACCAAGCGCTCACAACGTCTCAAGGGAACTACAATGGAGCAGACTACCGGCCATTAGTTAGTTTGGGTGACGTGGCTGCCAACAATACAATATCCCTTAAAAAAACAATACAATAGATTTTTGTGAACATATGTTGATGGGTAGGTTTTTCCTTTTTTTAGACCTTCTAGACGCATGGATGCAATGGGGCGGATTATTTGGGCCTTGTGCTCGGAACAGATGCATGAGTTGAGTGTGCCATTTAACTTTTCCGTGGTTTATGCTGTCTGAATTAGGTGTGGCTTTGTACACTGATGTGACTGGCCTGCATGCATGCATGTCCATCGACGTCGATGCATCCGTATTTTCGGTCCGGAGCGTGCGTACATTTTCTCTTCGCCGGTCGTCACCCGGCACTCACTCTGGGTGCATACGTTTTCGGCACATAGACGGTCTGCTGGCTGTATGCATCGTTCTGATACAGAGGCTACGATAAACCTTCTTTTTTTTAAAAAGGCGGTCTGCTGGCTTTCTGTACCCACCACTAGCTGGCACGCTGGCCCACCTTCTTTACAAGTTTGTTACGATAGCTTTTCTTTTTCGCGAGGGTACAAGCCTGTTATAGCTAATGATTGCTCACATCATATGATATGCCATGGATGTTTCGTTTGGGTTGAGTGCTGCATGCACACACTAGCTCGAGCCATGTCGTGGCACCACCGTGCTACAGAAACAGCTCATGACATGGACGGATGTGCATGCCAAGTCGTACGTTCATCTCAATCTATATAGTTCCGTGCATGTATGCACGCATGATAGTGGCACTGCATCGTCCATCGACCCTTCGTTGCCGCTTCCATCTTCCACACACTCGCTCGGTCACTCTAGCCCCGGCCCCATGGAGAACAACGCGCGGCAGCACGGCGGCGTGTTCGGCGGCCTCGACCCCCGCCCAGGCCCACCCAAGAGGTCTCCGCGCCGGTCATTGCTCACCGCCGGCCGGGAGCCGGACTTTTCGTGCAACTACTGCCGCCGCAAGTTCTTCAACGGGTATGCGCTCGGCGGCCAGAACACGCATAAGCGAGAACGGCGCCGAGTCATAGTCGCCCCCTCCTCCCCCCCGGCCATCCAAATCCACTATTGGCTCCACGCCGGCGGGGACCTCCGGGCGGCCGCGGCCGCGCCTGTGCTGGCGGACTGGGCTTGGTCCTCCGAGTGGGACAACTGGGAGGCAGCCGCCGCACCGGAGGTGGAGATGGACTTGTCGCTCAAGCTCTGGTCCAGCTGAACGTTACTACGGGTCTACGTTACTAGTACTACTCTAGTACATGCATGTGATACGTATGCTGGCATGCATATATAATACGCATGTTTTTTTGTTGTTGTGAGGAATAATACGCATATTATGATCCGTCTGTCTATGTAAGCCTTAGTCTCGAGTTATCGATGCATTTGTTTTCATATAGCCATCTAAAAATCCTAAATGCTACAAAGTGCAGATGCACTATTTGATTTTTTTTGAGCGAAATCATCCGAGCTTTATTAATTAATTTTGAGATTTACATAGCCCGGAGGCTCAATCAGCCAGACATAGCATCCTGGCGCAAATGCTAGAGAATTCCTACCAATACTATGAGCATTCATATTAGCCTCACGTCTTTTTTTTTTGCGGTTTAAACTTTGTATTACTCAAGTGGTAAGTCCACAGTCTGCATTATAAAGTTCAATGACCTCTGATAAACCAGAGCTAAGCCACACTACTGTTCTACTCTTTGTTCTAGCAAAATTTGCCAAAAAATCATTAACATTATTTTGACTACGATGAACATACTTGAAATTAGTATTACGAAGACTCCTCAGGTGCTTGATTTCCTTTACCAATGATGAGAACAGTGACCTATCAGGCAAATCATTTGTGATCATGTTCAAGGCCTCCCGTGAGTCCATTTCGACCTGAATAGGTAGCTCCGTTCTCTAAATTGCTAGTGAAAGACCCTCCATACATGCACTTAGTTCAGACTCCAATGCATTCCTACATGAAAAGAGCTCCCTGCATGATGTATATATGATCTGGCCCTTGCTGTCACGGAGGACCATGCCAGCTCCTGCCTTCCCATCTAAAGACCAAGAACCATCAACGTTGAGCTTTGACCAACCCTCCATAGGCAAAACCCATGCGATGTTGTGAGCAACAGATGGTATCACTTGCGGTTCGGGCAAACAATATGCAACAACCTGTTTACCTTTCAGAAGCTCCTCATCTGAATATTTGAGCGATATCAAGGAGTCCAAATATCCCATCAAAAACCTTTTCGATGCCTCCATCGGAGGTGGTTCTTTGTTGTGTGTTATCTCATTTCGATTGTGCCACACCCGCCACAAACAC